GGAACTTGAGACTTACCGTTATTTCTACAATCATCCGACACCTAGTCGTGACGGCGAGACGAAGCTGAATTGTATTTCATCATGGATCAAACTGAATCATGCCTTGTACAGTACGCACATTGCTTCCAAAATGTGCATGAGCATGGGGTCTAATTTGCAAGGGGCATGGAGGGTTTTTTATATTCTGGAGAGGGGAGTGCACATTAGGTCTTGTCACAGTACTCAACAATGCACAAGCCTTCACTTCGCCTACAATATTTGCATTGGGGTAAGAAAGAAGGGGTGTGTGAAATAAAGAGGGGCACGAAGGGGGGGGGAATAATTAAGGGGACGAGGAAGGTATGCACCCTTTATATAGTTCAACCACTACTTTGGAATCAAGTTCCACCCTTAAAGCTCAGGCCTTAGGAAGTTACAAACATTTCAAATTCAACACCAATAATACAAGACCATCATGAAAATTTGAATTAAGAAAAGCTGACACTCCCGACCAACAAGATGAGACAATCAGTAAACTAAACTGAGACATACCATCCTGGCAAAAATCGCCCCGGTAGCCTGGTTGACAGACACAGGAGAAGCTGTTGAAATTGCCGGGGATACACTGACCGCTGTTGAGGCAAGGTTGGCGTACACAAGGATCCACTAAATGAGGACAGAAACCAGATACTGAAATGATCAAATGAATCAAATTCACGTCAGAAAATAATGTGCACTAGTTTATTTGTACAATTTGCTTTTGAAAAGAGACGACAAGTTTGGTGTTGCACGATGCAAAATGAGCAAGCAGTGATCACCCTCGGATGTAAATGGCAGCGTCCGTGAGTTTCATTTCATTTTCACTCTCCCCACCCCCCAAAATGCAAACTTTGATGCAAGTGACCAGCACTATCTATCAGCAACTTGCGGTGACGATGCACCTGAAACATGTCCCTCACATCAGTATGATCAAGGCACTCTGTCACTATTTGGACTCCCATGAGACACCTTCAATTTGGAAGACTCCAATTTTCTTGGAGCAGGGAGGGTAGAAATGGGGTAGTTATGAATCCGTGGGAAGGGGTCTCCAGGAGATCTCTCAGGGCAATTTTGGAAGGTCAGGGTTGGAGGAGAGGTGGAGCTGTGGCTATCAACTTCCACAGAGTCACAAAGTTGGCCCTTTCAACACCGCCCTCAAAGTTCACTGCACACAATTTCGTCCATGTCTCCAGTGTACCTATGTCGCACAAAGATCCTGAATAGCCCGGTAGACAGGTGCAGTCAAAGCTGGATCCATCTGGGGCGGCATTGCACTGTCCTCCATTCAGGCAAGGGTTGGGGTTGCACATGACAGCTGTGGGGAAGACAGGTGGCTTTGATATCAAATTTTGTTATTCTAGGAAATTTACAGACACCAAGTGTCAAAGTCAATCCTTGAAAAGAAGACAGAGAGTAAAGTAGGCAGCACCCATAGATGCACTTTGAAATAACAACCACAGTTGCTGTCAGGAAGCTTTTTTAGCATTCAATAATGCCCGGGTCCTACCTTAATGCCTTGTTAATGCCTCAAAGATTCACTGAAATAATTAAGTATACTTTTGAAAACCAAAACCAGCTGACAGAGGAAGGGAAATTTTCGACTTGACAAATTTTAGGGGTCTGGTATTTAGAACTTGTCAACATTGTCATAATTTAACCTTGAAAATGTCTAAGTTTGGATGTAACTGAGAAAACGGATATGAGCATTTCAATTTCCATATGGTCCTTTTGGACAGGCTAAATTCATCCAGTCGTTTCCTAAGACTGTGCATGTCTAGCAAAGAGGTTCATCACTAAATTATTTTGCTTTGTTTTTTGCTCTTTTTTTTTCCGGGGGAGGGGGGCTTACCCCTACTCCTCCCCCCCCCAATCTGCAAGTGGCTTATTGAACTAAAGTGGTAGTTTGGGACAATGAAACGAATGGCATGCATACTGATGTTGCAGCGTTCACCCGTCCAGTTGGGAAAGCAATTGCAATTGAACGACGCTCCATTGGCAATCACCGAGCAAGTCCCAAAGTTACAAGGGGAGGCCAGACACGGGCTTACTGAAAACAAAAAATCACAACGTAGAATACATATTAAATTGATCAATACTTTACAAAGTTATCTATAAACAAACACCAAACGGGGAGGGGGATATTCCGTTGAGATTTTTGTGTCACTCACAAGTTTTAAGTTACATGTTTATCAGACAGCAGCAAGTAACCCGTCTACTATGGAACTCAGATGGCCTAAGAACTACTCTGTTGGCATGATGAGCAGGGGTAATAACTGTGCAGTACCTTGAGCAATGTGATTTAAGATATGAAATATTAATCTTAAGTTAATGAATTACACATAACCTATCTATTGTCTTTAAGAGTTTGAAGAGCAGGTGTTACTGTTTGCTTTCTGGGAAAGAAAATCACTTACAGATGTTGCAGGTGGTACCATGGTAGTTTGCCTCGCAGTCGCACACGAAGGAGTTGCCCAGCTCCCGACATGTGCCGTGATTGCCACATGGGTTCTGGAAGCATTGCAACTCTGTCATTTGTTGGAAAAGAAGCACAGATTTTGAAGCAATGGCCTCAAGAAATGAATCCGTGTTCCATTTCAGCGAATTCGCCCTCATCCCAGTGTTTTTGAGTCATGACAATCAAGAATAAAAGTTTTGGGGCGATGGTGTTCAGGGGACCAGAAAATTGGGAGTTTTATGTAAACTTTTGGGCCTTTCAGAGGGGTTAGGCTAAATTTTGGGGGCTTTTTACACACTTTGGGGAATAACAAACACAAAACAGACCCCCAAACATCTTTTTCTCATAATATTTCAAATAAAATGTTGCTAAGTTTTATTGAGGGTTGGGCATTACTACCCACCAGACGCACAAATGCTGTTACATGTTTTTGTTCTGAAACAAAAAATTTGGAACATACCTTGATCGCAAAGAACACCGCCCCAGCCTGGTTCGCACAGACAGATGTAGGAGACACCCTGGGGGATGCATGACCCACGCACACAGCCATGGTTGAGACAGGCAACGACTGCATGTAGGAAACAAGAGTAGAGAAACGTAAAACTTTAGATGTGATGTCTTTGAGGGATTGGGGTTCAATGCCCCCCCCAAGCTGGGGAAAAGGAGCAATTGAAAACACTGGCAAGCCACTAACACAGAACTCAATCCGACGCAAGTGCCATCCTGTGAAAAAGTTAACACTGCACAGCTCTAATACACAACATGGCCCTAAATCGTGGTACACTGTCCGTGCTTTCACAACCAAATCTTACAGCTCTTCTTTCTTGTGACTTCATGTGACACAATGATCGTCTGGAAACTTTCTTGTGTTTGTTGACTCACATTTATGCCACTCCGCTGAATGTGCTGCCATCTTCAAAACGCTTGTAGCCAGTACATTGTTAAAATATATAGTGATGTTGGCATATGAGCCGGAAATAGACCTTTTGGAGGTAAAATGTCACGGAGCTTGTCGTGGTTTCGATTGCTCCTGTCTCCTTTATTTACATCACGGGCAAAGAGACTGATCGTGTGCGCCGACGTGCTTACCAATTTCGCAACGTGAACCAGTGTGCGTGGACGGACAGTTGCAGACAATGGTTGGAGTTGCATCAGCATTCTCATAACCACAGACTCCACCATTCAAGCACTCGTTGTTATTGAAGCAAGGATTAGCTGTACAGGAAGATGTCACAAGAGGTATTTTGTTCACAATTTCTTCACTCTGAACCTTTTTTGCAGAAATGAATAACTGTGAGAGATGTTAAACCGGGCTTTCCCACCAGAACAGAAAAAAGTGGATAAATCTCATTTCCTGCAACAAATATCACGAGGCAAGAGGAATTCGAATGCCCAGAGACCTTCAAAGCAAATATCAGGGCCCATGAGAGAGGAGGCAATTTCCCTCACCATTTTGGCAGTATGTTCCAATGAAAGGCTCCCCGGGAATTACAGTGCAGTCACAGGTGTAGTCCGATGCGCCAGGGGTGGGGATACAATGGCCTCCATTCTGACAGGGATTACTGTTGCATCCCGACACTACGAATGTGACAGCCAGAACCAAAAATAAAATCAGTATTAATGTTTGGGTGATCAGTTACCAACAAAACACGAAACTGTGAAAGAAAGATTGGTTTTACACTCTTTCAAGAACCATTTTTGCAGTTAGAGTACCAGAGTGTGACGTCATTTGGGACAAGAAAGTGTTATGCAAATGAATGGACTATGCGTGTGTTGGTTCACAAACTGGTTCTCGCACAGAGGCTTTAATACAAATAGATTTGTGCCTGTGTACTCAACAGGTCCAAGGCACAGTGCCCACTACGCTCACTACCTAATCTAGAGACTTGATTCCGTGGTTAATTGACCGAACAAAAAAAACCTGGTCAAATGAGGAAAACCCCAGCAGTACGTGTCGTGCCGGTGTCACACTACAGGTCTACTAGACTTCCCCCCGCAGCTTCCTACCTGGAATTTCACAGATGATGCCAGTCCAGCTGGTTGGACAGAAGCATCTGAAGCCAGCCTGATTGTTGGGATTATCGGGTAAGCAGGTGGCACCGTTTTGGCACGGAGAGACGGGGACGCAGAGGTTCACTGTAACGAACGGAGGTAATCAAAAATGTAACGAATGAAGTAAAATCATGTTTTATGGTTGTCCAAAATGCACTTTGAGGCAACTTTTTATTCCCCCGGGTTGGATGTGAGTCCCCAAATTTTACAAGGCTGTCAAAGATGGGGATCAGCTTAACTCTGCGATTGAGCCTGAATAGTTAACCAAATGCTCTGAATCACTGGGTGGTAGTTGGGCCTTCTCAACTTCCCCCCCTCCAAAAAACATCATTTTCTGTATTCAAGGACCTGTCAGGTTAGACCAGTCCAAGAAAATCTTCCCATGAATGCCTGCCTACTGCTGGTCCTCGGCTGAAGTCATTTCAATGCTGGCTCACCTGCTGTTTGGCAGTTAGTGCCCGTCCAAGCTGAGAGACAGGTACAGCTGTAGGCGGCTTGGCCCCCAGTGTTCTGTGGCGTGCAGGTACCTCCATTCTGACACGGCAGCGAGTTGCAGAGATTGGCTGAGAACAAAAAGCACAAATATTGAAATGGTTTCATTCGCAAAGTCTACGCAGTCTGTTTTCAAAAGTACTCCCGTCACACTGTCACATTTGAAACTGCAGTCAAAGTGGAGCACCTCTGCAAATTTTAGAAGGGATAAAAAGTCATTTGTCTCAAGCCCACTTAAAATTCCCTTGCGCCCGTGTGGTGGTCTCAGCTGCCTCCCAGTCTCAGCGGTCCCCCCGAATAGCCGGACAATAAACGGACAACTTTCCCGTTGTTGTGCGCAGAGATGACATGACATTGGCTACGGTCACAGGGTGGAAACGCTTACCTGGCGTCTCGCAGTTTGGGCCCGTCCAAGCAGACAGACAGGCACACTGGTAACCGGCCACGTTGTTATTACTGGTAGGCGTGCACGTCCCTCCATTATTACAAGGGGTCAAGGTGAGGCACAAGTTAACTTGAATAAAGACAAAATATGAGGGCAATTTAGGGGAATATCATACGCTTGCAAAATCGTACGTTTGAATGTAACTTGTATCTGAGGACTGTACCATGCTGTACGTTATTGGAGAATTTTAAATGAAGGGGCATTGGTTTTTGGTTTTTCATAATTAAACATCTTGGGTGCAAACTTCATTTCTGTCTTCTTTTTGATTGCACAAGACTCCACAATTGCCAAATAAGTTATCTACATTCGTCTACTGAACTGATTGACTTCCATGGTTATTATAAAGTCTCAATTTGGGCAATCTCATGTGCAGCCTGGGCTTGACCCCAGTTTATGGAAAAGACACTTGGAGTGTGCATACAAGCATCCATGATATTTGAGCATATTCGGCAGAGTTGTAACGAGTCACTAAATTTGGTGACTCGAGTCATTAGGTCAAGAAGTTGAGTCAAGTCGCTTTGTGTAGCCGAGTCAAGAACCGAGCTTGAGTCAATTTGAGTCACAAAGTTTTGAACAAAATACAATAAATACGATTGATATAAGAGCAGCACTGTGAGTCCAATTTCAAATATTTTTTTCACCAAAAGAGTTTGCTTTAAATTTGTTTAGACTCGAGTCTTATAAGCTTGTACTCGAGTCAAGTCTTCATAAAAGAGATTCGAGTCGAGTCATGTCATTTGGTTGCAGAGACTTGAGTTGAGTCAAGTCATTTACCCGCTGGGACTCAAGTCGAGTCACCAAAACATGTGACTTGAGTCAA